GTGATAACGCATCCGCCCATTCTGCGCATCTGATTCGGGCTTTCGTCGCCAAACACAATACTCCTGTGGTTCGTCACGCTCCGTACTCTCTCCACATGGCTCCGTGTGACCTTTGGCTATTTCTCAAGCTGAAAATGCCGCTAAAAGGAACCCAAATTTAGTCGAGAGAAGACATCATGCGAAATGCGACAGACCGGCTGATAACCATTCCAAAAGATGCGTTCCAGCAGTGTTTCCAGCAATGGCAGGAACGCTGGGAGAAGTGTATACATTACCAAGGAGACTACTTTGAAGGGGATTAGGGTTTTGTACCTCAAAGTCAATAAATTTATTTTTGCCGACCAAAGGTCCGATACTTTTTGAACAGACCTTGTACAAGCAATAAAAACTATATTTATATTTATATGTATTATAATGTTTTATTATCAAAAATAAAATAAAACAAAACTTACCTCCTGAAGATAGAAGGAATGGAATAGTTTTGAAAAGTGTCATAAAAGATAGAATTTCCTATATATTTTACCTGTGGAAAAAAATAATGTATCTGAGAAAAATATACACTATTATGAAATCAGAGAAAGGAACAGATTTCACGTGTCCAGAGGTGTCCAGATTTCACGATAGTCTATATTTTCCTCAGATTCCGAGTTAAACAAGAATAATTTGGAGAAGATAAACCAAAAAACAAAGAATAGGAAAAGACAAACATTTCATATCTTATATAAAGCTGATAAGGGAATGTCTAGTCCAACAGATTAAGCAATTTTGATGTTACATAATGATTCTGAGGAACATCTAGTCCAACTGTTCCAATGGAACTATCTAGCTTAACTGTTCCAATGGAACTATCTAGCTTAACTGTTCCAATGGAACCATCTAGCTTAACTGTTCTAACAGTTCCAGCAGCAAAACTGGATCTCTCACCTTACTGGAGAAGATCAAACAGAAAACTGTAGCAGTTTCAGGTAAGATTACATGCAAGGATATAGATAAGATATAGATATCATGCAAGGATTGCACAGTTTAGACAAAGTTATTTTTTCACAATAAACTAGAAAGACTTTTATGAAAACATGGATGGAAAGGTAGGCAGGAACACAGGAGAACCAAATAAAGAAGAAACTGTACAGTTCTGGAAAAATATATCTGGGACAATCCAAAAGATTACAATAAGATAGCAGTCTGGACAAAGGATCCAAAAGCTGATCTCAAAGGAAATGAATTGAAATATTTAGTAAATGAACTAGTAGAAAAAATCATAAGATAAAGAATTGGATAGCATCAGGAATGGATGAATTACATGGCTTCTAGATCAAACATATGACTACATAGATTACCTGAACTGCTATTTTCTATATACCATAAAAATAACAGTGTACCATATATTATCTATTACTTTGAGCATACACCAAATTACTTAAGCAGTACAATGATCAAAGAGAGTTATTTATTTGGAAGAACCTCTACATATCTGCAGTAACACATGCAATACACCTACCATAGAAATCTTGCAATTGTGAATAACCTTATTCAAACAATTTAATTTGTAATTTTGTATTTACATAAGCACCACAATCATATACATCTTACTAAATTGCCTTTCAAGGGTTTTTGCAAATATCACACAAATTACAACACACTTCTATAATTTCATTTTAATTTAATTTTGTTCTGTATTCTATCCACATGCCTTGGATAACTGGAAAAGTCCATTCAAATATCCAAATATTCGAAAATTAACTGTATTCGATTTCTTTTCACCTGAGGATAGTAGCTGTAAGCAGTTGAAAGTACTAGCGAGTATGTCTTAACTATGCTAATAAATCATGTTTGTAAAGATGCTACACTGTTGTGTTAATTATTTTTTATGATTGTTGGTGTAAAGTATCTTTTTATGATTATTATGGAAACTACTAGAAAACACTTCTTTAAGTTATTGAACACAAGAACTTTGTGGTTAAAACAAAAAGCTCAACTTTACTTGTTACTAAAGTGTCATAAGAATTAAACTCATTCCCAAATGCATTACTTTCAAATATAATTCATTTCCAATGGATGTTCAAACACTATTGCCTCGAATGGAGCAAAATCCCCTAGCAAAACATATGACTAGCTTGTACAAAAGAATCATCCCAGGAGCTTAATAGAATCAATATCTATATATTACTGAAGGTTGTACTTTGCAACAAGGAAACCATTTGGAAAAAATTACATTCAGATGGTGATGACCAGTGGCTTAGTTAGGTTTTTATGACCATTAGGCAAAAAATTATTGAGTCCCATATTTTATTAAAGTGATTATAATTTGGTTAGCAAAAAGCACAAATAATACTAGGATAATAATTACTTACATAATTATTTATCTATCTATTAATTACAATATTACAAACAAAAAAAAGCTAACATTACAATAATTTATAAATTAATTTTAAAAATTAAAATATCACTTTATGACTTACATTTAATTATATCATTTAAATCTATTTTGCTTATTTCTTTATATTCAGTAGTTAATAATGATGTGAAATCACATATCTTACTTCTTACTTTAACCAATAAAAATTTCTCATGATCTTATATATATAGACCCCAAAACGCATCAGCAAGTTTTCCAAAAATATCTTAAATTACTATTAATGTTTTATGAGGATTAGAAAAATATTCCACAATATCTCAAATTATCTGAAAATTGAATTAATTTTTCACATATTGGCAACATTCCAGTCATAGTATTATATTACATGTTGCTACATTTACCAGTTGAAAGTAGAGTCTAACATTGAATTAAAATTATGCTATAGATTACATTTTGAACATAAATCAAATAATTTTTACTTATTTTAACATATTTTACAGTATTACATAATATTTTACAAGGTCAAACTCTCCCCTTTTTTATAATATTTTGTAATGCTAAGACCTACCATACCCACTCCTCCTCTATTCAACATTACAAATACTTGAGCCTGGTCAAATCTACAATGGATATGAAAAAGGCTCTCTTAGTGCCTACAGGGCAGAAAATGTTAAAAAAAAAGTTCTTCACATAAATAAAATTTTGTTTTCAGAAGAGAAATTTGAAAGCCCCAAATAAATAAAATTTTAAAAATTGAAAACTTTGTTATATAATTTTTCAACTTACAAACAAAAAAGTTACCTTTTTTACTGTCCATCTCAAATAAAATGCAATAATATCTCTTTTTCGGAAATGCTTTTTATTTTTACCTGCAAAAATTTTAAATACCATACATTTATACACAAAAGTTAATTACAGTATATTATTAAATAATAAATTATATATAATCAAATTTTTCATATAGCAAATTGCTACATTTGCTGAATAAAAGTTATTAAATTTAATGTTCAATATTTAAGAAATAAATAACTTAAGAAACCAAAAAACTTAAGATATGTAAATAGAAATTTTTAAATTTCTTTTTATTTATTATAATTGAATAACCATTATTATTATATAATACATAAATGAATATTGTGTGTTACTGAAAATGATTTAAATCAGTCAGTCAAAAATTTCCAGTTTTTTCAATATTGAAGAATTAAATCTGGATATCAAAATGTTAAACTAAAGTATGATAAACTTGAGAATATGGTTTGCTAACTATAATTTGGCATCTGTTTCACAAGCATTACAGATATTGGTTAATATTTTTTAATGCTGAACAGCAAATACCATTTTATTCTATTCAAACACTACTATCTATTGTTGTTATGATTTAATATATTTTACCAGGAGCAGATCTGGAAATTTTATTTAGGGGTGTGCTTTATGTCAATATCGATATCCAAAATTGATTACTTTTAGTATCAAGACTGCAATGTTTATAAAAATAGTTTTCATTAATCAGAAATAAAATTTATATTTTATCTTCATGTTGCATATTATCAGTCTCTGGTGGGATATAGAAAAAGGATTGAATTGGCCCAAAAATTTTTTGTATGATCATTACAGTGTTAATATGTAAATAATCCTAGGAAATATATAATTACAGTAGAACCCCTCTAGACAGCCCTTGGCTAGTCCGTCACTCCGGTTAATCCGACCGTGGTCGGAGTCGAGAAACTTGTCCCAACTCGTCAGTGACTCACTGTCCGTGGCGTTTTTCTGTGTTCGTTACAGTATATGTTTTACATTGTGTGTACATGTACAGTTTTGTGTGTGTTTTCAATATGTCAGGAGTGAAACGTAAACACGTTACTCTTTCATTAAATGAAAAATTAGCAGTGCTACAAAGACTGGACAAAGGGGAAGATTGTTTAGTTTACTTTTTTTCTGATAATCTGACCTTTTTTGCAGTTCCGACCATACCCCCAGTCCCAAAGGTGACGGATTAGAGGGGTTCTACTGTATAGAAAAAAACATGTTTTTATTTCCAATATTTTACAGCAGTGTGCTGTAAAAGTAAGAGTAACATCCATCTTGTATGTTTTCTTGCATACATGTCTATCACCTCATGTAAGTTTACATACATCAACATCTTTACTATGAATGAAGAGAAATTTAATGAACTTATTTTCTTAATCATCATTAACAAAATAAGTTCATTAAATTTCTCTTCATTCATGCTGCTTCTAAATCAATGATTCCCAAAATGGTCTATATCGACCCCTAGGAATCGATTCCGAACTGCAAGGGGGTCCATGTCAGCGAAAATAAAAATTGGGGTGCATGAGATGTAAATGGGGGTCCACAAGAATGGATCTCATTTAAGCAGGTCATGACCAAAATTTTGGCTTTCCCATAAATGAAATAATTTACATAATACAGATAGTACTATGTACAGTACATACTTCCATCATGTAAGGTAGCCAACCCGGTGGAGATAGGGGACTTGAAACCCACTCCACAGCATCTGTATAAGGTTGCCGTCTGCTAGGTGGGATCTATTAATCCCATGTCAGGATGAACCTAAGGGATGTATGTATGTGGGCTGTGACGGAGGAGGCAAATGATGACAAGTGTTTTACACAAGAAAGCCATTTATTTGTTAACATTTATGCTTACATCGACAATCGACAGTCCTTCACTAGGTTCTTCTCGTTGAAGATGCGGAGAGGTGAGAACTTTGGCATCTGTCTGGCCCCGGGGAGGACGAAATGCGGTCGCTGAGCAAGGCGGACGATCGGAAGGAGGAAGCGGCGGAGTCCAAAGTTCTTGGCAATGACACACCACAATATAAGTCACGACCTTTCATGGACTATGGAGGAGAGCTTTTCCCGATTGTGATTTTTGGGATTTTATAGTTTTTTCTCCCACTATTCGGACTTCTGATTGGCCCCTCATCCTCTTCCTCGCTTCCCGATTGGTCTCTCTTTTGTTTTGGGGAAAACCGAGACCGACTCGGGTCACGGGAAAGGTCCAATTCCAGGTGTCTGCTCAATGCCGTTCTGTCGATTGTTCTTGGGGATTGTTGACAAAATTGCAAGACTTGCGCTCATAATTTAGCTCCATAACTCACGATTTCTGTCATCTGGGTAACTGAATTATCATATGCAATGATTTTTCTCTCTTAAATCTTTCCCTCTTTTCCGAAATTGTTTCCCTATATTGATTGTTTATGAGCGTTTGGGTTAAAGTTCTACCTGCATATGACCACTTGTCTCTGACTTAACTTTTCATTCTGACATTGACAGTTCGTTTAACACGTGTTGGAGTCATCCGAGACTCGTTGTTTACATTTTATGCTGCGTTGTTTAAATTATGGGATTTTCCTCTCCCTCTCATATTTAATCTATCGTTATTATTTAATCATAAGAATACCACGATTTACATGATTTCTGATCTTGGTTGAGTCCTCACAATCATAATAAAGCAAAATATTGGATGGAGCAAATTTTCCCAGTTTCCCAATTTGTCACAGACAAACTGCCAGGATGATGATGTTTCAACATACATTCAACATTTAAATATGCTTCACACAGACTTTGAAACTAGATTTGAGGATGTTTTGACTATGAAAATACCACAATGGATTATTGATCCATATGGTGGCATTGAATAAACGGATGTCATATTACAAGAAGAACTGATCGGAACAAGCACTAACAAAGAACTTAAGGTACAGTTCAGAAAGGGATATCAGCAATTTTGGCTTCAGGGAGACATGCCTATTACTTATCCTGCATTATGTACTATTGCGAGAAAGTTTTTGATAGCTTTTCCATCTTCATACCTTGTGGAAAGAGGTTTCAGTGCGGTTGCCAATCTTCTTACAAAAAAAGAAACATATTAGAAATCACTGTTTGAGGAGATTTAAGGTTAAACCTAACTAAATTGAAGCCAAATATTGAAAATTTGCTATTAAAGCATCAGGCTCATCCCTTCCATTAAAAGCATTTTTAATGAGAGGGATTTATTTTTTTCTGTAGTTATTTTATGTTATAATTTTACTAGATTTGCATTTGTGTCATTTTAATTAATAAATGTATAAAATTTAACGTTTTTTTTTTTTTTTTAACTTTTTCACTCTACAGTTAAGCCTACCAAATTCAATATTAGAAAGGCAAGGGAGTCTACCCAAAACATAAAAAATTGGCTTGTGGTCTACGAGACAAAAAAGTTTGGGGGCCTGTTCTAAATCATAATTTACACATCTCAATAACAAATATGCACTTTCAATACCAAATGAAGTAACTGGTATAATAAAAGATTTAAAACTTTAATAATATTTGGGAACATTTTAGAACTACTACTATTACATAATTTCAACCTTATATTGTCCAGCTTATTATCCAGGTCACACCAAACTCTTTCCCATAGTTTCATGTTTAGAAGAGTCAGCATATGACAAATCATCTGTATAATAATTTAAAATTTCATTTGCTATTTCTTCATTTAATTCATACCTCATACCTAATGGAATCAGTTAGAACCCCTTAATCACATTATTAGCCATCATCTCAAACCTCAGATTAAATTGGTAAATCAGAGACTCTATAAACAATATATAAATTGCTTGCTTAAAGTACAATTTTGGGTCATCTCCTTCAATATTGTTTCTATGAATTTGCTTTTTACAGGTATGGGGTACCATTAAAGACTCAATGTTTGCTAATTTTGCCATCATTGTACTCTTGCTATATATATAAAATCAAAATCTGAAAAATATCTTCTCTAAACTGTTCTAACACTGATTTCACATATTATTTCACATGCTATTTCAAATGCTTACAATATGTAAAGCTGATCCTTGGAGTTTTATAGAAAAACCTTTAATGTAACTGAAAAAATTCAGAACTGTTTGAAAACAACAATCACTGTGAAATCATTCATTTTTTTAAACCACCCATTCTTCTGTAATGGTTTGACTATCTCAGCCTTACTTGTAAGATGAAATCAATCTAAGCACTCAATTAAAGGTTCATACATTGTATTAAAATTGTCTAAAACTGTGTATTTTCTGCCCTTCATGTTTCACAATTACACATAAAGCAGCAATTTATTTTTGTATTTTGTTGATGCTCTTATTCAGACACCAGAGCAATAACTTGTCACCATTTGAAATTGAGTCAGGCAGTGGTTAAATCATAGCAGTTAAATTGTGCGCAAGTTGTACATCAGCAGGGCCAATAGTTGATTGGCAGTCTCATCAATAATGAGTCACAAGCCTGCCAACTGATAAGTTGGCCAGGCGATCACTCAGCCCATGTTTGTGAACCTTTAGACAATTGCTGCTAAGAATAAGTCACAATTATTTCAGTAGAGGATTTACAAGTATCGACTTCTGGGAAATTATAAGCCAGTTTGCAATGCACTGTGGGATTGAAACTGATACTCAAATTATCACAAAGCATAATTGTGGAGGTGCCATGCAAAAGCAAACAAGTCCACTCTAAACATTGTTAAAAAAAATGCAAAAAACTGTTATTGAATTTATTTTACCCGTCACACCTGTAAAAATTTATTATATTTTTCACTTTGTATCTAACATCAATATTTGAAGGCAGTTTTTGATAGGAATATAGTTAGTATTTAATTATATGACATTAAAATATGAACATGTTTCTTTTTGCTTGGACAGGGTGAATATGTTTTTTTTTTGCATGAACTATGTTAGGATATGTTTTCTTTTGCCTAGCCACTATATTCTTTTTCACTTTGTTATACTGGCTACTACTTTGACTTATCAAAAAAAAAGATGGCAATTTACAAAATAGGGATGAACAATAAATGTCTTAAATCTTGGTTGCTTGTTCTCTATTATATG